TTCTATGTGGGGAACAGGATGGCTTTGACTCAGCAGAGTGGGGCTCAGATCCACAGTCCTGTTAATCGTACACTACCACTACACTACCTGGAGGCAGCCTTCGCCCTGGCCAACCACAAGGGCTGTCTGAACTCTCCCTTTTGTCAGAGAGGGGCTCTGGCCAACCTTAGGGCTGTCTGAACTCTCCCTCCTGTCAGAGAGGGGCTCTGGTCAAGAGCTGGAGTGGGAATGTGACGGACAAGATCTGCCCGCTGAGGTGAGACTGGTTCTCATCTGCACTGTCCTCTGCTCTTTTGACTACAACAGTGCTTTTATCCTGTGCTTCAAATATAGTTTGTTGATTTTGGCTAACGGTGTGTGTGTGTGTCTACAGCCCTTTTACTGTTCACCACAGGGAGGCAGTCAGGAGCTGTAGCTTCAACTTGGATCAGATTGAGAAAATCCATCAGCCCTCTTCACCTATTGGAGAGAACCCTCTCTTTTCACCATTCAGTGAGTTTGGAAACACGCATGGAGATGTTTTTGTGCAGCAAAACATCATCAGTACTACAGTCAAAAGATTAAAGATCTGCACTGTGAGAGAGTCACATAGAAAGTGACTTAAGCTTCAAATAAATAAACCCCCTTAGGAAAGGACTGACAGAATAGACAAAGTGTGATATTGTGTAACTCATTATTGTGTATCTCCACTGCTTGCATCTGTCTCCAGACGCTCCAGCAGCAGAACCCAACCTTCACCCTGCCCCTCCTCCAACAACAACACTCCTGAGACACACCAGACCACTAGAGCCCAGGTCCCCCAACCCACAGCCATCTAGCTACAGACACACAACATACCACTAGAGCCCAGGCCCCCCAACCCACAGCCATCTAACTACAGACACACAACATACCACTAGAGCCCAGGCCCCCCAACCCACAGCCATCTAACTACAGACACACAACATACCACTAGAGCCCAGGCCCCCCAACCCACAGCCATCTAATTACAGACACACAACATACCACTAGAGCCCAGGCCCCCCAACCCACAGCCATCTAACTACAGACACACAACATACCACTAGAGCCCAGGCCCCCCAACCCACAGCCATCTAACTACAGACACACAACATACCACTAGAGCCCAGGCCCCCCAACCCACAGCCATCTAACTACAGACACACAACATACCACTAGAGCCCAGGCCCCCCAACCCACAGCCATCTAACTACAGACACACAACTTGCTTAGTGGTGTTGCAGACTCTGGGGCCTCTCAGAACAGGTGTATATATACTGAGATCATGTGAAACTTAGATTGCACACAGGTGGACTTTATTTAACTAATTATGTGACTTCTGAAGGTAATTGGTTGCACCAGATCTTATTTAGGGGCTTCATAGCAAAGGGGGTGAATACATATACACGCACCACTTTTCTGTTATTTTTTTTTTTTTTTTTCATTTCACTTCACCAATTTGGACTATTTTGTGTATGTCCATTACATGAAATCCAAATAAAAATCAATTTAAATGAAAGGTTGTAATGCAACAAAATAGGAAAAACGCCAAGGGGATGAATAATTTTGCAAGGCACTGTAACTGCTAGGCTACCTGCCGCTCCACAGAAATGTTGTAATATCATTTAAAACTCCAGCTGTTTTTATCTCAATATTATATAATTTCTGGGTAACAATTAAGTACCTTACTGTGATTGTTTTCAATTAAAAGGGTGTGGGTGGTGATGAGTCGGAACGTTGGGCTGCTGATCTCCACGACGACCACACTCCTCACTGTCCTCTTCCACAGCGGCACAGCTCTACTCAACTTCGCCCTCAGCCTGGTGATATTCCTGACCACATTGTTCTACCTGCTGAGTTCCAGTGGAGAGTACTACGAGCCTGTCAAATGGGTGATCAGCCTCACTCCTCTGTCCCAGCCCGGACCATCCTCTAACATCATAGGACAGTCTGTAGAGGAGGCCATCATGGGGGTGTTTGATGCCTCTCTGAAGATGGCAGGGTTCTATGGTCTCTACACCTGGCTGACACACACCATCTTCGGCATCCACATCGTCTTCATCCCCTCTGCCCTGGCTGCTATCCTGGGTGCGGTGCCGTTCCTGGGGACCTACTAGGCAGCTCTGCCCGCTGTGTGTGACCTGTGGCTGGCCCAGGGAGAGGGGGTCAAAGCCCTGCTACTGCTGGTCTTCCATCTACTGCCCACCTACTTCGTAGACACAGCCATTTGCTCCGATTATCAGGTGGTGGTCACCCGTATCTGACTGGTCTAGCGGTGGCAGGCGGAGCATACTATCTGGGTCTGGATGGGGCGATCATCGGTCCTATCCTGCTCTGTATCCTTGTGATAGCCTCCAACATCTACAGTGCCATGCTGATGAGTCCCAACTCTGCCCAGCCCACCCCTGTACAGTCTACCTGGCCACTACACCCTGCCAGGCCCTTCATGGACGCCACTCCCTCGGTGCTGAAGAGGACGAGCGAGTGAGAGGGGGTGTGTCTCCTGGTTTCTCATTGGCTGGGTGCCTGTCCCTTGGCTTCCCATAGGCTGATTACCTGGAGAAGCACCCTTTCCTCCCCCGTGCTCCTCCCGTGCTCTACGGGGTCTCCCAGGCTGAGTGGCAGGGTGTGAGGGGAGGTTACCCACGATGCCATCTGCCTGATAAAGCTACTTTCCAAACCATGGAGGAGAGACCCTCCCCTCTTCCAACACATATAAGACCATAGAAAAGATGTAGATAATAAATCAAAGCAATGGTCCGCAATATGTATATTGGGTATACCATATTTAATATTGAATGTTTGATGAATTGATGCTTATCACATCATCTCGCTGAATGCGAGGTCCTCTGTAGCTCAATTGGTAGAGCATGGCGCTTGTAACGCCAGGGTAGTGGGTTCGATCCTCGGGACCACCCATACGTTAAAAAAATGTATGCACACATGACTGTAAGTCGCTTTGGATAAAAGCGTCTGCTAAATGGCATATTATATTATTATAAAAGTGGTAAAACATTTACAAAAATAGCTTCTTAGCAAAGAGCAATTTCTCAAGCAAGGATTTTGCTAGAACTGTCTAGGTGAGGTCTTAGTGAGGGGCCTATTTGTAGTAACCTAATGGAAGGGATGTGTAACCTGAAAACTAGCTGTTATTTGGCAGAGAGGGATTAGGCATTAGGCAAACTCTCTTTGTTTTTTGTTTATTAACTTTTCTAAAAAAATAAACATCCAGCCAAACAAGCTGAAATTTCAGGCAGTCTTTTTAAACAGCTCTTACAATAAAAGTGCATTATCATAATTTTCACAATGCCACAGTATTATTCCAACATAGTGTGGAATTTAATATAAAACACAGGAAAATCTCGCTTTTGACTGCACTGCCCCTTTAATAAAAATAATTTATTGGTGTTGGAACATGTTATTTTTTCTTTGATTATAGCGAATGTCACACAAGGTCAACATCACGAAGTTGTTATCAGACCAACAGTCACATTTTATTCTCATCATAATGTACTTATCTTAGAATATTGGCCTGGGGGTTATTCATAAAATGTATAGCTAATGCATTGCTATGAGCACACCCGTAGGACTAGGGCTAGCCTAGTCTACAGCTTTTCAATTGATTTGGCTTTCCATGTATTTCATTCACAATGGTTGAGCTGTTCACACACCTTATCATTTGCTATAATTAGATATATGGGTCCATATGCAGGTTTTCTGTGTTTTCCCCTCTAATTCTCTCCTTTTAGAAACGCTGGTGTATTTACATACACGAGCGTTGCTTTGAATTGCATTGGGTTGCACAAAAACAGTCTATGGGAAGCCAGAAGTTAAATACAATTCAATTTCAACTTACTGTGCCAGTGGGCAGGACGGTTGGTAATTATGAGGGGGTAATTTGAGACAAAATATCTAAAGGATCGTATTATTAAACAGACTTTCCAAATGTGGGTCTGTTGTAGACCCACTTCCTCTCTGCTCAAAACATTTTTCCACATGCAGGACTTTTATTTTGACATGAGGTAAGCAGAGGAAGTGAGTCTACAACAGACCCATGAAAGTTTGTTTAATAATAGCAACGCTAGTGTATGTAAATAGCTAATAATAGTATGAGCCGTTTTGTTAATTTGAGATTTTGTCATCAGAGCACTCTGGTCTGGCATCTTCCAAGTGTAGTGCTCTCTTGAACTTTCTTCACACACCACGGTCATGGCTAGAAGGGATGCAGCTTTTGTCAAATTAATGTCAAAAGTGGAATTTGTTTACATTTTAGGTAACCATCACCCTTTTCCTAAACTTCACATAATTATTTTAACCTGCTACGAAAAGTCAAATCTGACAAAAGCTGTAACCCATTTAGTCAAAACCCACTACCACCGCACGGCTAGAAGGGATCCAGTTTTTGTCAAATTAACGTCAAATTTGACTTTTTGTAGCAGATTAGGAGAAGGTTTAGGGTAAATTTAAATGCAAAAAAATGATTTGACAAACGCTTGATCCCTTCCAGCCATGATGAGCTGGTGAGCTGCTCCCTGGACCGCAACCGGACTTCTGTGGAGTTTATCGTCGGTCATCCAACGTTATGTTGCATTACCGGCACCTACTGTACTGGAAATGGGGAGGAACTAAATCATACTTGCCACTGCCAGGCCCGTTTCTCTTAGAAAACATAACAACAATTTTGCGACTATACCTAACGCTGTACTACTCAGTATGCTCTTGAAACTCATTTCCTGTATCCCCTTCATACTTGATCTCATTCTCTCTCTTTCCCTCTCATACTGTCCACACATGCTCCACTGTCTCAGTTTCGTGACAGTACTCACCGCTCCGGACTTCGTTTATTCAGATGTATTGTGGGAGTTGCTGTTCATGTTAAGCATAGTGGTGGTTTGTTGAAATTATTTAAGAAATAAAAAAAAACTACAAACGACGACCCCTAGCGGTGAAACTGAATATTTTGATTGCGCAGCAACAGATTCTCGGCACTGGCAGTCAGACACGTAACCAGCAAGATGGCTTTCAAAAGGGCTGTGATACAGCTGGTTTTGATGGTTTTACTTTATTCTTCCCCCGGCGTCCAAAGTTTTTTGGAACGCATCAGCTGCACTATATCTGCCGACTGCAATTGTGATTTTAAACCAAATATACGAGGTAAGAAAACGGAAGCTATGCTAGACGGGTAGTTAGCTAACCAGCTGGTGAGCTGCTCCAGTTTATTGTTTGTAAGAAAACCCCATGGCTAGAGTTAGCTAGCTAACGTAGTGAGATTAAATGGTTCTGCAAATTATTAGCTATACTGAACAAAAATATAAACGCAACAATTTCAAAGATTTTATTGAGTTACAGTTCATATAAGGAAATCAGTCAATTGAAATACATTCTTTATGCCCTAATCTATGGATTTCACATGACTGGAAATACAAAATATGCCATTTGCCTCATGCAGCGTGACACATCTCCTTCGCATGGAGTTGATTGTGGCCAGATGAATGTTGTCCCACTCCTCTTCAATGGCTGTGTGAAGTTGCTGGATATTTGCAGGAACTGGAACACGTCGATCCAGAACATCCCAAACATGCTCAATGGGTGACATGTCTGGTGAGTATGCAGGCCATGGAAGAACTGGAACATTTTCAGCTTCCAGGAATTGTGTACAGATCCTTGGGACATGGGCCGGCGGATGAATGGCACGACAATGGGCCTCAGGTATCTCTGTGCATTCAAATAGCCATCGATAAAATGCAATTGTGTTCGTTGTCTGTAGTTTATGCCTGCCCATACCATAACCCCACCGTCTCCATGGGGCACTCTGTTCACAATGTTGACATCAGCAAACCGCTCGCCCACACGACGCCATACACGCTGTCTGCCCACGACAGTTGAAATCGGGATTAATCCGTGAAGAGCACTTTCTCCAGCGTTCCACTGGCCATCGAAGGTGAGCATTTGCCCACTGTCGGTTACGAAGCCGAACTGCAGTCAGGTCAAAACCCTGGTGAGCACGCAGATGAGCTTCCCTGAGACGGTTTCTGACAGTTTGTGCAGAAAGTCTTCGGTTGTGCAAACCCACAGTTTCATCTGCTGTCTGGGTAGCTGGTCTCAGACGATCCCGCAGGTGAAGAAGCCGGATGTGGAGGTCCTGTGCTGCCGTGGTTACACGTGCTCTGCGGTTGTGAGGCTGGTTGGACGTACTGCCAAATTCTCTAAAATGACGTTGGAGGCGGCTTATGGTAGAGAAATTAACATTCAATTTTCTGGCAACAGCTCTGGTGGACATTCCCGCAGTCAGTATGGCAGTTGCATGCTTCCTCAACTTGAGACATCTGTGGTGTTGTGTGACAACTGCACATTTTAGTGGCCTTTTATTGTCCCCAGCACAAGGTGCACCTGTGTAATGATCATGCTGTTCAATCAGCTTCTTGATATGGCACACCTTTCCTTTGGGTGGATTATCTTGGCAAAGGAGAAACACTCACTAACAGGGATGTAAACGTGTGCACAACATTTGAGAGAAATAAGCTTTTTGTGCGTATGGAAAATAGCTGGGATATTTAATTTCAGCTCATGAAACATGGGACCAACACTTTACATATGTTTTATATTTTTGTTCAGTATAGTTAACTAGTTTTGATTCTTTATAATAACGTTAGCTAGCAAGCTAATTATATTAGACTGTTAGGCTAGTTAGCGCTTGTCCATCACGCGACAACATTGAGTTTCTTCTGCGCTGTGTCACTTTACGTGTATAATTTCTCTAAACAAAATCTGGGAAACAAATCCTCTAGCTATGAAAGATTACATGAAAAGTGAGAGTGCAGAGGCAACTCGTTGTTATTGTCGCGCGATGGACCAGAGCAAGCTAGTATCGCTAGCTTTCCAGCAGTCTTAGCTGTTTATTGTTAGCTAGCTAGCTTGCCCATAGACTACATTCACAGATGAAAGGGGAAGGAAACCTTTCAAAGGAGTTAGTTATTATAATCTTTGCTTGACTGTTCCCTCACATCTGTGCATGCCAAGTGTTTTTTTTCCTAGCCCTGCTGTCATACTGAAATAATGGCAAGTTTGTTGGGTCTTGCTCTAACTACATTTTATTATTCCAACACCTCGATCTCTGCAAATCTATCTTCCCAGGTTTGGAATGGGATCTGTATAAGAATCTCTACGGTCAGCATCTGGCCCAGGACATAGTGTCAGAGGAGGTGGCAAACTTCCTTCAGAAGGAGAGTCCAGACCGACCCCTCGTCCTGTCCTTCCATGGGGGGTCAGGGACGGGCAAGACTCTGGTCAGCTCCATGTTGGGGAGACACCTGTATGGCACAGCTATGGGAAGCCCCTACATCCACCAGTTTGTGCCAACACTACACTTCCCCTCGCCTGACCGCGTCAAACAGTACAGGGTAGCGCATCTCTCCCACCTTGGACCACAGAGTATCATGTACTGCTTAGTGCTCACACATACACACCTTTGCAATGCCTGCTGTTTGAGACAGTACTTATCCCCTACGATCAGCTTGATGTGCACTTGTCAAGTCACAGCTTTATGTTGTAACCACAATCTTTCCTGCATGCTGTATGTCTGAGCCATTACCTTGTGAAACATTATTTTCATACATTGCTAAGTGGTTCTGACCTCCACTCTTTCTCTTTCTTCCCTGTTGTCCCTTAGCTGGAGCTGAAGCTCTGGGTGGAGGGGAATTTGACGGCCTGTGCCCGCTCCATATTCATCTTTGACGAGATGGAGAACATGCCCCCGGGGGTCATCGACATCCTGAAGCCCTTCCTGGGGCCCTCATACGTCGTGTTCGGCACCAACTACCGCAAGGCCATCTACATTTTCATCAGGTAGCGGCTGGCTGGCTGATGATGTAGATGGCCTTGTGGTAGTTGACTGAATATCTATCTCACGGTTACTGTAAATGTCCTAAGTTTGAAGGCTTGGATGTTGAACTATCGTTGTGCCTTTTAGTAGATCAATCCCCTGTAGTGTTCCTGTATTCCTAGCCATTGTCCAGTGAATTTGACAATATGACTGCAGTTCAGTCTAGAAGTGTTCATTTTGTGCCCTGAGAGGGTGATTCTGTGTGAGGTCTGGTTATTGCTCTGTAACTACAGGAGCACATCATGTAGGTTGTAGAAATCATTTCTATCACAAAGCCCCTGCGATGAGGTTATGAGTTAGCGTTCTCTGTCATTTGGTTCTGAAATGGAAGTGCTTATAAGCTGGACTTCAGTATGTGTGTGTGTCTGTCTTACCTCATAAGGATCACTTACCCCATCCATCAGGACTTTATCTGGGACAGGAGCTTGCCTGCTATTTTCTGGTGGATACTATTAAGCAATGTGTTTTTTTTTTTTTTGTGATGAAAGTGTGACTGACTGGTTGTATTTTGTGGTTGCAGCACCATTGGGGAGGAGGTGATTCACCGTATGGCCCTGGAAACCCGGCAGGCTGGCAGGGAGAGAGAGGAGATCAGGCTGGGGGATATGGAGAACGCGATCTCACAGGCTGTGTTCAACAACAGCAGAAGTAAGAACCTAACTGACTTATCAATCAACAGCCCATTCATTTAGAATACAACCGTTCTAAAGTTTTAAGTTATTACGTTCTAACAGTTCTAAACAGCCCTGTCCTTCTCCCCCCAGGTGGATTCTTCCATTCTAGCATCATCCAGGAGAGGCTGTTGACCAGCTTTGTGCCCTTCCTGCCCCTGGGCAGACGCCATGTGGAGCGCTGTGCCCGCAGAGAGCTCTGCCAGCGGGGTGAGTGCCAGCGCACCGATGTGGTGGCGGCAGTAGGGGAAGCCGTTGTCTACATGCCCGAGCAGGGACAACACTTTTCCAGCAAGGGCTGTAAATCTGTGCCGGCCAAAGTCAACCTCTTCCTATGAGTTAAGGTGAAAGCCATTTTTAATTGCTAAAGTTAGAATTGTTCCCAGAGCCTCAAAGACTGATTTTAGGGTGGATTTTATCAGACGGTGAACTGAACTGTGTTTCTCACTGAAGATCATCTCTACATCCACACTACAAACAGAGGAGAAGATTGATTGTATTCAAAGAGGCATGTAGACCTTTAAGGCGGTCTGCACACTCAAGGTCAGAGCTGCAAAGGCAGAATCATTAACATTGATCAAATTTTAACTGTGAATCTCTAGTGAGGTATCCCCTGGAACTATGATTATCCCCCTGGCCCGGATTCAGTTCAGAAACAGTGAAAGAGATTTTCTGGAGTTTTTCTGGAGTCCGTACCTTCATTGTGCTCTGGAACCGAGAGCCAGCCTCTTCCTCCAATCCAACAACCTTTGCTTTAAACAGAAAAGTGCATAATGGAAGTTCTGAGTGGCCATAGGGGAAGGCATCATGTTTTAAGAATGTTGATTATTGCTGTTAGCTAACCCTGGTTGAAAGGAGACTGGTCACTAGATATTGTCAAAATGATCTGTGACTTCATTCAGTTAGGTGTTCTTCCTCCAATAGGAATAGACTCTTCCAGGGAAGTGTAACGGCGACCAAAAGTCAGGCCATATTTTAAGGGGAAAGTAAGAGGGGTAGTTGGGGATTTTGGCAATGAGGCCCTTTATCTACATCCCCGGAGTCAGATGAACATTTACATTTTACATTTTAGTCATTTAGCAGACGCTCTTATCCAGAGCGACTTACAGTTAGTGAATGTATACATTTTTATTTATTTTTTCATACCCCCCGTGGGAATCGAATCCACAACCCTGGCGTTGTAAACGCCATGCTCTACCAACTGAGCTACATCCCTGCCGGCCATTCCCTCCCCTACCCTGGACGACGCTGGGCTAATTGTGCGCCACCCCATGGGTCTCCCGGTCGTGGCCGGCTACGACAGAGCCTGGATTCGAACCAGGATCTCTAGTGGCACAGCTAGCACTGCGATGCAGTGCCTTAGACCACTGCGCCACTCGGGATGAATTTATGGATATGTTAGCATTGCATTGTATCATATCCTTATCTACCAGGTTTTGTTAAATTGAAACAATCTGTCATTACTTGAAAGTTGAATGATCAAGCGTTATCATGGTGGAAGACCACGGCAACTAGGAGCGGCGGCAGTGTGCTCCTCTTGTCAGTAGGTGGCAGTAAATGCTCTTTTAATAGCCAAGGAGACGGAGTAGAGCATCTCTAGAGTTGGTGCTTTTTAATTTAAGATTATTATTTTAATCACTATGTTTTCAAGAATATGTTTGTTTAATTATTTGTTAATGATAAGAGAAACAAAGAATAATTGAGAAAGGTTGGTTTTAAATTATAGTATCCATACATATATTGAATGGGTGATGCCCTAGAAGTTCACTTTACTATGAAATAGCCTAAATAATATTTAGGATACTTAGGCATTCTTTGAATAAGGACATCCAGAAAAACAATGTCAGTTTACTTTTAAATGTTTGTTTGATGCATTTTTATATGCTTCATATGCCGTTGAAAAATGCATATAAGCCTTTAATTTTACTGATACATAATGACTAACTGTAAATCTAAATGTGTTATTTACTTTACAGACAAGTTTTGGACAGAGGGAGTCTGTCCTTTCATAGTAATCTCTGAACAGCAGGCTGTGTAGGTTGACTAATTGTTTGCTGGTGGAAGTGGGATAATCAAAGGGTTGCCATTTTTATACTTGAACTATTGTTTACATAATTGTCACTCTATTAAGAACAGAGCAGAAAATATCTTATTTCCTTTGCTTGTCTGTATATTTATCAGGAAATGTAACTGTTTAATATTTTTTGTTTTAAGGTTCCACCAAAATCATTTATCAAAGTTAATAGCCTTGGTTTCTTTATCAGTTATTTTACCATTTTGCTTTCAGACAATTTAAACTTTCATCAAGTTTCATAGAAATCCATATAGTGCTGTCCCTTCTTAAAGTACTTCCAGAGAAGACTTTACACCATCAACAGACTGAAGTAGTTAGGTTGTGACTGTTTAACCCACGTTTGTCCACCGTATCTGGAGATTTGTGTCAAGCACGTATTTGATAAAAATGCTGTTTGTCTAATCCTACAGTGGGCATTGTGCTCCTGACTGAAACTAAACACATGTCCATAACTGCAAAAAGGCAGACCAGAAAGCAAGCATTGACAAAGACCGATTGCGGTCGAAACATGTTGGCTTTTTCATAAATAAAAGAGCACCTATGCATTAGAACACTTTTGTTGCGGCCTTCTTGGGAGATACCATCACCTTTTCTTTTTGGGAATAACCAGAACTGCCCATTATCTTGTCAGTCTCAACCTTCGACTCATACATATTTATAAGTTATTACCCCTCAATTTTCATTCCAGTAACCTTGACTCTGGCTATACCAACTACTAGTTGAAAGATTAGTGTCTTCAGAAAGTATTCACACCCCTGGACTTTTTCCACATTTTGTTGTGTTACAAAGGGGGATTAAAATGTATTTAATTGTAATTTTTTGTCAACGATCTACACAAAATAATCTGTAATATCAAAGTGGAAGACAAAATTGAACATTTTGTAAAACAAAATAATGAAAAATAAAACTAATATATCTTGATTAGATAAGTATTCAACCCCCTGAGTCAATACATGTTAGAATCACCTTTGTCAGCGATTTACAGCTGTTAGTCTTTATGGTTAAGTCTCCTAAGAGCTTTGCACACCTGGATTGTACAATATTCTTCAAGCTCTGTCAAGGTGGTTGTTGATGACTGCCAGACAGCCATTTTCAAGTCTTACCATAGATTTTGAAGCCAATTTATGTCAAAACTGTAACTAGGCCACTCTGGAACATTCAATATCATCTTGGTAAGCAACTCCAGTGTATATTTGGCCTTGTGTTTTAGGTTATTGTCCTGCTGAAAGGTGAATTTGTCTCCCAGTGTCTGTTGGAAAGCAGAATGAACCAGGTTTTCCTCTAGGATTCTTCCTGTGCTTAGCTCTATTCGATTTATTTTTATCATTAAAAAAACTCACTAGTCCTTGCCGATGACAAGCATACCCATAACATGATGCAGCGACCACCATGCTTGAAAATATGAAGAGTGGTACTCAGTGATGTGTTGAATTTGACCCAAATATAACGCTTTGCATTCAGAACAGAAAGTTAATTTCTTTGCCACATTTTTTGCAGTTTTACTTTAGTGTCTTATTGCAAACAGGATACATGTTTTGGAATATTTGTGTTCTGTACAGTCTAACTTCTTTTCACTCTGTCAATTGGGTTAGTATTGTGGAGTAACTACAATGTTGTTGATCCATCCTCAGTTTTCTGCTATCACAGCCATTAAACGCTGTAACTGTTTTAAAGTCACCATTGGCTTCATGGTGAAATCCCTGTTCATGTTAAATACTTATTGCACAGTGAGTCCATGCAACTTATTATGTGACTTAAGAACATATTTTACTCCTGAACTTATTTTGGCTTAACATCATAAAGGGATTGAATACTTAATGACTCAAGACATTTTCAGCTTTTAATTTTGTATTAATTTGTAAAAATTTCTAAAAACATTATTTCACTTTGATATTATGGGGTATTGTGTGTAGGTCAGGGACACAATCTAAATGTAATACATTTTAAATTCAGGCTGTAGCAACAAAATGTGGAAAAAATCAAGGGGTGTGAATACTTTCTGAAGCCACTGTGTATGGACAGGGGCATCTTATCCTAGATCAGTATTTGTAAACTCTTGGGCAAAACATTTGAGTGGCCACCCTCATGGTAAAGGAGAGAAATGTGCAGCTTTAATGTCCTGCAATTGTACACATTTTAACCATCGGGCGTAGAGAAAAAGTTAGTTTTAAAGCACATTTTCTGCAATTCTACACTTTTCCATGGGCCAAATATGTATTTTTTTTGTTTAAAATGAATTTCCTGTCTATAAAATGTTAGCTGACATGGGCTAATTGAGTGTCTGACATAAGAGGACTGATGAACTACCAAATTGCACGTTGTGTATTCTATTATCTTAACTCCCGACAGTAGAGCCGGCACTGCTGTTCGTTCAGAATGCAGTGGGTTAATTTGACATGGTTCCCCATACCCTCCTATCACCCTGCAACAGACACATTTTCATATGATTTCTTCTCATTAGACAGGGACCCACCTTGGATGCCATATTACAGTATACCCAAACTAGAAAGCCAAGCCAGCACTTAGACAGTTATCATCATCATCATCTCGGTTGTATAGACATCTCTCTCAAACATTCATCTTTGAAAATATTTTCTCCATGTAATCAAAAGGGTTCTAACTGATTCCGGTCACCTGTTTCTAGATCACTTCTTGAGGAAATGTTCCACTGGGTATCTCTCAGTTACAGGTTATGATAAAGAACTGAGTGTTCATATTCTGGAAACTTGAGATCAAGAAATGACAGTCTATAAAAACAACCCTTAAATTCACAGTTCTGTCTTTGCCTCCAGTGGGACTGCTGTTACTTTTGGCCAGCAAATGACTGGCCCCTTTCATTGTCCATTTCACAACACACTGAGTGGCCTGGTCCTTATTCCCCCCAGTGTGTGGAGAATGAATGGGAGTGAGAGGACATAGCCTGGGTGCCATTCTGTTTTTACTCTCTTGGCAACTCCTTATGTCATGCCAAAGTTTACATGACAAGGAGTTGGCAAGAGAGAAGAAACAGACTGGAACCCAGGCTAGAGAGCACAGTGTTCATCTAATGAATCAAGAGAATCACAGCGTTCATCCTTCCCTGACAGAGATGCGGGGCTGATATCTCCATAGGCTGGCCTACAACAGGAACTTCCTGTTTGAAACAGGAAATTAATAGTTTATCCACAGGAAATGAACAGGTGTCAGAGGTTCTGTTGGTGTTTGTATATACAGTACCAGTCAAAAGTTTGGCCACACCTACTCATTCCAGGCTTTTTCTTTATTTTAACTATTTACTACATTGTAGATTCTTCAAAGTAGTCACCCTTTGCCTTAATGACAGCTTTGCACACTCTTGGCATTCTCTCAACCAGCTTCATGAGGTAGTCACCTGGAATGCATTTCAATTAACTGGTGTGCCTTGTTAATTTGTGGAATTTCTTTCCTTCTTAATACGTTTGAGCCAATCAGTTGTGTTGTGACAAGGTAGGGTTGGTATACAGAAGATAGCCCTATTTGGTAAAAGACCAAGTCCATATTATGGCAAGAACAGCTCAAATAAGCAAAGAGAAACGACAGTCCATCATTACTTTAACACATGAAGGTCAGTCAATCCGGAAAATGTCAAGAACTTTGAAAGTTTCTTCAAGTGCAGTCGCAAAAACCATCAAGCGCTATGATGAAACTGGCTCTCATGAAGACCGCCACAGGAAAGGAAGACCCAGAGTTATCTCTGCTGCAGAGGATAAGTTCATTAGAGTTACCAGCCTCAGAAAATGCAGCCCAAATAAATGCTTCACAGAGTTCAAGTAACAGGCACATCTCAACATCAACTGTTCAGAGGAGACTGCGTGAATCAGGCCTTCATCGTCGAATTGCTTCAAAGAAACCGCTACTGAAGGACACCAATAATAAGAAGAGACTTGCTTGTGCCAAGAAACATGAGCAATGGACATTAGACCGGTGGAA